TTCAAAATTCACACAAACCCAAAAGAACTAATGTGCAGTGTTGTCAAAGGCGAAAAGCGCAAAAAAGCTTTAAGGTCTGTTGGGACTTTAAGCGCAAATAAAGCGCGGGCTTTAATGAAGAAAGACGCAAATGGAGAAATTTTGTTGAAATAAAATAAATACTCTATCTACAACATCAAAAGAAATTACTCTTAATAATAGTTCTATTTAGGGTGGGTGGTGGGCGAGGTGAGGGTNGGAAAATATTTTCCGTTCTTTTGATAGTCCAATTGAAGGAAAATGAGTTCATGAGGAAAATGTTTTCCAAAACATTTAAAGCCAACAAAACATGGGAAAATTCGAAAATATTTTCGAGAAAATGTTTTCCTTCATACCAAACACACCCTAAAAGTAAAACAGACAGAAGTAATCATTTATTGTGTATGTTCTCCTTAGGGGCTGACCCTGCAACTCCTACCATATCATCGCATATGTCAATATAAACTTCCTAACAGAATAGCAAGCCAATAGTAAGCAAACTCTATCTAACCAAATCAAAAAGAGAAAGTCAAAAGTATAACAGACAGAAACAATTATTTATTGTGTATGTCCTCCTTGGGAGCTGACCTATGACAAGTTCAACTATGATACACAACCCCTACCCCAAAAAGCCTACTATAAATCAGTTCAATGTACTTTTCTTGAGCACCCGATATACCTTCAGTACAATTACCTTCAAACTTCAGCTATGCAAAGTCATATGCAGGCAAACATCCAATGAAGAGCAGAGAAACTACTTACATCCTAGACAAAGGGAGGAAACTCTTACCATTACATTGGAGAAAGAAGCAAGATTTTGCATCTGGGAACTTGTCTGTGGCTGACTAAATGCTGCAGCCAATTGTTGTGCAGTTTCATATGTGTAGCCAGCAGCAGAGGAGGGATACGAGTAATGATTTCCATGTTCGCTCATCTCTGCTTTCAACGGCACTGGTTGTGAAGCAGAAGGTGAATCATAATTTCCAGAACTTGCATTAGTTCTATGGTATATGTTACTCTCAGATGCATGTCCGAGAGACTCATCACCATAGTATTCGGGAGCTCTGCAATATAAAGATACACTAACTAATAAGAGGAATATTTTCAGCTCCTATGTTTTGCATGGGAGATTAATTTATAAATACCTCAGTAACAAAATGATTTACGTTATCTTGAAAGATTGACATTTTATACTTAAAAATATGAAGATGTTAATACACAAGTTTAAAAATGCACTGTTGGGTTAGCTTTAGAGAACCCTAATTCGTCTTAAATAATAAATTTATGGTTGGGAGGGCAGAGAAGACTGCACTGCACTCCTTATCTTAAATGATAAATTATTTGACTGGAAAGAGATGAGTCTGAATAGAGTGAAGCTGGTATAGAGGATTCATAGAGATGCAGCTAAGCTCAAATACTTTTTTTTAAAATGAGCTAATCTCAACTACTTGGGATTGAAGAATAGCATTGATTTATTTGACTGATTAATGTGATGAACATTTAGAAAAGCCAACTACAAAAATACTAAGATAAAGTGCAAGGATATATGTAGTTGAATTTAGTAAAATCAGAAGCAAACTTAACTGCATATCCATACTTAATTTGATTGATCAACTATAAGGAAGATAAGACCTATGAGGCAAAATAAATGAATGAAAGTTTCCACATCATCTAATCTAAGTGGGGGAAGTGGCCGGTAGAGACTTGGTATGTTCATTACTTGGCATAACATTAATTTCTAAATTATGTGTTATTAATTAGATAAGCATCAATGAGTTTTAAATTTAAACAAAATCCACGGTTACGAAGGAGGTATACCTGGATCCCAAGTTCCCAACTGATGAACCCTCCACATCTTTAGGTGCATCTTCCAAGCTAGTATTCACTGGAGCAGATTCTAAAGGCCCGGAAAAGGACCCGCCAATACCAGCGCCAAAGCTACCAAAGCTCAGGTGTGAGCAGTCTGCAGTTTGAACTTGAAGATGGTCTGGGATTACAACAGAAGGACCATCTCCTTCAGGTGACAACCCTCTATCATCATGTACATTTAACTGTTGCAAGTTTGCAGCAACTGATGAAACAGAGATGTTAACATCTTCAACTGCAAGAAGATGGCAGAGAATTATTACACAAAATATTCTAAGTAACAGAACTTCACATGCCGGAACAAACAATTTGATTATGCAGAAAAACCATGATGCCTTTTCACTTTAAGTTGAAGCGAATCGTGACATGAAAAGCAGGTCTACTGTTTACATGCCTCCTAGCCAGCATCTACATGTATGCTGCCCCCCTCTCCGCCCAAAAAAGAAAAGTTTCTAGGTGGCTCGAGATTTGTTAGGCTTTTCTTCTCTTTCAAAAATAGGGGGCTGCAAAGTATAAATTTTAAGGCATCTTTGAGTTTTTAAGGATAAACCCCAAACATCAAATTACCGGTCAACAGAACACCAAGCTTTAACTTTAGGAGGTAAAATCAACTCTGCACAGGGCAACCTATGAACAACAAGTGATTGGGGTTTATCCTTACAAACACTAATAATAATATCAATATGCACTTACTGCAAGACAGAAGTGATATTTTAAATTCCTATTTAAAAAACTACAACAAACAAAAAGCTGGGAGAAGAAGTTTATTGCTTAAACCAACCAGGTTCTTAATGCTACACTTCCATCAAAAGGTGATAAGACAAACAAAGGTGACACAACCAATAGAATTGAATGAAGCTCCAAATACAGTAAGAAAGAGCTTTGCAACCAGTTAAGATGAACTTCCTTGCATTCCACTGCTACTATATGTCCAACCGTATATTAATATCAGTATCTACAAGAGCCTAACAACATATCCAACTTATTCAAACTAAATTGATAGGATGAGATCAAACACTGGGACTGTATTACAAAAAAACAAAGTGTAGTTGCTCTAAGAAACACGCAACGATAACATTATACTGATGTCAAAGGGGGACAGAGGGAATCTTTAGCTTACTGTACAAAGGACCTGCCAAGCACGGAAACCTTAGAGAGAATAACGAAAGATAAACAATAAGCAATACCATGTCAAACGAACTATTACACAAGCAACATGACGACAAATAATACATATTTTCAACAATGAAAAGCATATCACAATATCAAATCAAAACTGTGATATACTAACCTTCTTGATGGTCAAAAGTATGATTCTGGTTCTGAAATCTGTAGAGGTCATTCTCATAAAGAACTGCGCCTCCAGCATTATCCTCCTGCAACTTTATGCTTGGAGGACTACCAAGATTTTCAGCAGTGCTGTCATCTATCCCCTGAACCTCATCAATCTCAGTTTGATGATTAATTCTGTCATATGATATGTTAGCTGGATCAGGATGCAGCTCAGAATCTGTGGGAGGCTCTGAGATAGAGGGCTGGCTAGCAACTGATGGCTGCTCGATTAGAGGCCATTCCTCATCGGTTGAACGATGCTGCACCCGATAATCCCCAGACTCTCGATATACATCAGAAACATTGGATGTATGATCGTCAGAAAACTGAATATTTTGATGTGATGCACCAGAAGGGAGCCCTTGAATATGGTTTTGGTTGGCATTGGCATTGTGGTGAGATACATTAGGTACACTCGGCACTTTGCTCTGCGGCTTACCCATCTTCACAATATCAGCCATGGAAACTTGACCTGGCACCCCGCCCCAAGTAGGTTGATATCCAGAAGAATGCTGTGAGACTGATGAAACACCATCAACTGCTGCTGGCTTTTTACTTTCATTTGCAGCAGCATCACTGTAAAAAAAGCATTCAAAGAAAATTCAAAGCAGCATTATGCATCTCCTAAAAGAGCGCTGAAATTGTGCTTAGTCACATGCATGTGTAGATAGCTTACATTGCAAGATTATTGAAGTGAATGAAAAGAATTTGCAACTTAAATAAGCCAATGCAGTGATTAATGATCGTAGCTATTAAGTTAGTTAAATTAATGCCAGAGACACTTCAACAGAAAGAAACATACTGTGGGTAAAGGAACACCCTACTGGAACCAACAACACGAGCATCTAAAACCAACTAATGTCCTTTTGAAAGAAACTAAACTATTTAAGACTTCGAAGCTAACCTGATGGTTGCAGCCCTCCTGCTTACGTTACTTTCGGAAACTTCAGGAGTAGAAGTCAGATAACTTGTATAAGATCCATTCTCCTTTTTGTATCCAGGAGTAGGCTTGGTAGGCTCTGGAAAAAGGTGGTCAGAAACAAAATTATACCCTCATGAGATAACATGACAAACTATGAGAAAGTCAGACCTAATTCTGTTTGAAAAGATTATGCATTATCATGCATATACCTGACCCGCCACGCCCAACATACCGTTCTGCACCACCCCTGCTTCCACGGCCTGAATTGCTAACTGAACCACGCGGCCTAGATTCAGTTGTATCCTTACTCTGAACCTAAGATGAATATAAGTGAAGTATAAAGAAATCAACAAACCATTTAAGAAAGCAATAATAGCACCTTATAATATTCTGCTAGAGCATGCAACCCATCAGATAAGACATAAAACATATCAAGAGGAAAGTGCCATGCACCACTCAAGACAACAAAACAAAAAAGAGAGATCAGAAGTTAATTATCAAACCAGGGTAGTAAGTGATCTGAGTAGACTACTTCCCCTTCTCTCGTATCATATAAATCATAAGAGGAACACGCAGATATTAAGGACAAATGTTAAATCAGCTCCATAACCATTTTGTCTCTAGAATTCCTGCTTCAGTAAAGTTTACAAACCTCTTTTCTCTTTTCACGTTTGCTCTTCACCTCATGAAAAGTATCTGGGCAGTCAACGAACTCCAATTAGAAGGTGATCAAAATTAATAACAAACTATGGTCACCTAAAGTAAAAATTAAAGCATAAACAGCATAAAGGAAGGCAAACATGATTTATTGGGACTCTGCAAAATATATCAAACTCTGAAGTCTGAATAAGGAATTTCAACTGCAGTAACCAATGTTCTAAAAGTGATGCACAAAAAGTAATAAGTTCTTGGGGCTTTAAGAGAGAAACCAGAAGCAATTCAAGTAAAGCAGGCAGTTTTAAAAGCCCCTAATACTGTATTTTTCTCTTTCCTTTATATTTTAAAATCAGCGTCAATGAAAATCACCTCTCCATCTGATTGCTTTGCGCATATAACTACCCGAATCGCAAGTGGCATGCTCAGCCGGTTAATATAGCTATTAACAAATATGGAACCAGCTACCAGGTATATAGCATAAAATTCAAATCTTGCACTTAAGAAAAGGGTGTTCTACATGATGAAACGTATAAATCATACACTGCAGCTACAGATGCTCCACGCACACAATCCCACTGTGTCATTCTTCTTTCTTAAACAAAGCATCACAAATTAAGAGAATAATGCTCAGAACAGCATGAAAGGCCAAAAAAAACACACACAAACACAAAAGCCAATTATTCTTTTCTTGTTCCTACTCCTAAAAAACTCACAATTTCTAACACCCAGTATCAGCAAAAAAGTAAAGAAACAAAACATCAGCGGGAAAAAAAAACCTATTATCTTAGGTCTTACCAATAAAGGAAGTAACCTTATCACAAAATTAAGAAATCCAAAATCTTCCCAAACTTTTGAGAAACACAAAAACCCTAAAACCCCAGCAATAATATCTAAAACTAACAACACCCAGAAAAAGATTCTTCTTTTAAATAAGAAAAGAAAGATCTTTTTAGGGTTTACGGTAAAGACCTTGAGTAAGAAGCCTATTGACGGCTTCATTAGGGTCCATATTACATTCTTTGAGCATAGCATAGATCTCAGGCTCAGGACAGTTAACTATCTCCTTTAAGCTTTGTACCACCTTCCTTGACCCTGCTGGTATCGCTTGTACCCCAACTCCACCATTGCCTCCTCTGCTACTCATCTTTTCTAAGAGTTACAACTCTTTTTCTGTGAAAAAAGAGAGAAGAAAACAACAAACACCCACTGTATATTCCTCTTTCAGATCTATTAAAGTTAGGTTTTTGGGTCTCTCTCACTTTGTGTATAGACTATAGAGATATGTATCTTCGAAAAAACACGCACACACACAGTGAAGGGGTTTTTGCTGCTTTCTCTCTTCTCTCTGTGGGTTTGGGATTTCTCTATTGTGGGCTTCTTACTCCTTTAATACTAATATAGTTGTAAATAAATGTGTTTTTCCTAAAATCCTCTTCTTCTTTTTTTTTTTTTGGGAAAACCCTCTCTTTACCTTTTTCTTTCTTTTCTCCCTGCCCTAATAAATAAAAGTTATCTCTTTTTTGTATCTGTCTATGCTTCTTCTAATTTTTGCTTCCTTTCCTCTTTTTCTTTTTTTGTTTGTCTTCGAGATTGTGGTTTTGGAAGTTTTACTACGATAGAATAATCAGTACTTTTATAACTGCTTCAGAAAAATATTCTTGTTTGACTTTGTACTGAGTGGGAGGATTTCTTTTTTTAACTTTTTTGGAGAATTTTTTTTACTAGTGCGTAGTATTTTTATTTTTTTACATGATTCAAGTACAAAGTTTTGTTTGAGGGAAAGGACTAGGCTTGAAATTGAAATTCATAAAGCCTCTTATGTTAAAACATAGTCCGTCTTTTCTATTTCTTATACTTTTTACGATGTAGGGATGAATATATAATTAATCAAGTTATATTGAATATGTGAGCTTTTATTACATTTGAGTAAATATGAACAACTAATTAAATATAATTTTTAAAATTGTGAAATCATCTTATTATCGTGCAAAATCTATTATGTACAAGAAGGCCACAAAATTTAAAATAAAAATTTGTGCCCTTTTATAATTAGTATAATGTGAAAAGAAATTACAAG